TCTCCTCCTCGTGGCCTCTTGCCTTCCTCTGGCAGCGCGGCGGCAGGCTGCCCGCGACTTGGGCATCCTCTCGGTGGTTACTGGCGGCTTGATGGCTGCTGGGCGGCGTAGTACTCTTCCTTTGAGCTGAAGCGGCCTTCCTTTCAGCTTGAGGCGAACACCAATGTGGGGCCGCCACGGTACCTTTCTGAACAATGCCACGCCATCGAAGTAGTTGGCTAGGCCCTGCGAAACCAGCGCGTAGTCTAAGCAGCGCGCCGTGCCTTCTGCTGGAAAGCACGTTGGCGCTCCTCCTTCTGCAGCCACCACTTGCGCATTCAGCACCCCGGGCCAAATGCTGTCATTGAACTCCGACGGCGTAATATTGAAACCACGCATCGCTGCCCAGGGGCCTCCCCAGACTGCCATCTTCTCTCTCAGGTCGCAGAGGATGTCCACATTCCTGTCGCCGAGGCCCTTGCCGCACTCCAGGTAGAGGAAAGCTACCGCGAAGCGCGCTTGGCGAAGGTGGGCGATCACGACCGTGATGTCGCTGCCCTCCTCGTTGAGGTAGTTATCCTTAAGCCTGCGAGCCTGTCCTGTACGTCGGGCGAGCCTCTGGCGATGGCGCATGTGCCTCCTCATGTGCCTTCTCCTTCTCCTGGCCTTGCTCGAGTCCACTAGATGCGCAGGCCGTGCCGTCGCAGCGCAGCTCGCGCCTTGCTGATCTGCACTGGCTGGCGGAGGTGATGCTCCGCTATGCCGATGATGTCCCTGTCCTTGGTGCCGCTGATCTCCTTGAGGTAGTCCTGGGCCTGCGGGCCCCAGGTTGTGATGTTGAAGAAGTCCACATTGAAATGGCGGCGGGCCTTCTTCGTGCTCGCCTGCAGTCGACTACCCCGACGGGGCTTCTCCTGTCCCTTCCGCAACCACTTTGTCCGCCCTCTTGGCCTGCGCAACCTTTTCTCGTGCTTGCTGGATGTGTGTGTGTGTGTGTCCACTCGGGCGCGTCGATCTGCTGCTTTGTCTGCTCCAATTTTGGCTGCTTCGGCTGTGTCGGCCTCAGCGGCGCCGGTAGGCGTGGCCACTGTGGCTGCCCCTGAGGCTGCGGCTCCTCCAGGCTGGTCACGCTGCGGCGTGGGGCTGGGGCATATTTTCTTGCCAGGGGGAGCCCTTTGTTTTTTCTTCGTCACCTCCTGGCTCCTGTGCTTCCGTCTGGCGCTTTGTGCGCGCCTGCTCGAGGAGGCGCAGCTGCTCCTGGTGCTTGGCAGTCTCCCTCCTCCAAGTACCGCAGGTGCTTTGCCGCCTCCTCCTCGTGCTCCTTGACTTTCTGCGCCATCGCCTCGCCTTTTGCCTTTGCTGCTCGCCAGGCTTCTTTGTCAGGTTCTGCCCACTTGTGGAAATCGTCTGGCTCTTTCTCGAACTGCTCCAGGAGGGATGCCAGTGCCGTCTTCTCTGCTCCAAGTTGTTTTGCTGCTGGCACTTCGGGCTTTCCGGCCTGGGCCTAGAGCGTGTCGAACTCTTCCTCCGCGACGATGGATGCTGCCATGGCGTGATGAAGCTTGCGTTCGCTCTCCACCAGGTACTGCTTGGCACTTTCCACCTGCTCTCTTGCTGCTCGCACCTTCTTCTGGAGCTTATCCAGCCTTGTGGCGGCGGCTTCCACTGCCTTGAGTCCGACTGGTTCTGCGGTGGTCGGCTTTGCCGCGGCCAGGTCTGGCCAGAGCGCCTTGTATTGGACCCTGAGCGGGCCATCCTTGCTGAGCTTGTTGTAGGTTGCGGCTGCTGCGGCCTGGAGGCTGACCATGTGGTCGCGCTGTCCTGCTTTGTCGCCGCCTCCTGCGCTGCCTCCTGGCTGCCAACCATCAGCCCATGTGAGCCTTGGCGTTCCTCCTCCCTGTGGCTTGGCTGCCAGTGCTCATCCCACGTCGTCCATGTAGACGTGGCCCTCGGGCACGAGGCTGCCGAGGCTGCTGCCGCAGATGCAGAGGTCGCCCTTGCTGGTGACGTTCCTGCAATAGCGCCACCAGCCGCAGCCACACACCACATAGCTGCTGCGCGGAGGACGGCTCCCACTGCTGCCGCTCCTCCATGGAGGCCGCCTCTGGCCATGTGTACTCCCCGTCCAGGCGCTGCCCGCCCCGCGTCCACTGCCGCCACGCCCCATGGCTGCTGCGATGCCGCGCGCGCGCCCGACGCCCGTCGGGGGTCTGTCCTCGGTCCAGAGGGCTCCCTTCGGCCTGGAGGCTGGACAGCCCCCCAGGTCATCATCTTGAGCCAAAATGGCTACGGGGAAGAGAAGGAGGAGGAGGAGGAGGAGGAGGAGGAGGAGGAGGAGGATGAGGAGGAGGAAGACAACGAAGAAGAGGAACCCTCTCGAAGCCCTCTTGGGGCCTGGGGGTTTCCTGGGAGCCTGTTGGGGGCCCCTGAGGGGACTCCTGGGGGCCTGCAGGGGCCTCTTTAGGGGGCCTCCTGTGGCCTCTTGCGGGCTTCTCGTGGGCCTGGGGGAAGGGCGACGTCAGTCACCCTCTTGCCTCCTCGGCCCGTCCTCCTCCTCCTTGTGGTCACTCCTCTTGCGGTCTCCTTTCGGCGCACGTCGTCGAAGTCCAGCAGCTATCGTCTCGGCCCCTCTGGTGCTCCATTTTGCTATGAGTCGTCGCTTCTGTGATCAACCACGACGGAGCTATGTCCAGCCCGCTGCCTGGGGCCGTGACTGTCCCGAGCCTTGCGGCCCCAACGTTGCCGTGCGCCCTCAGCTCGTGCCCCGACGGGGACTCCGACAGCATTTGGAGCCGTCTCGTTGTCCCCTTCTGGCCTCTTGGAGGCATGTCGGAAATCATCTTGAGCTTTTTGCGGCTGTATTGATCCATTTTGGGGGCCTCGATCATCGAGGACCCCTCTCGAAGCCATCTTTGGCAAAGGAGGAGCCGCTGACACATCGCGGAGGGGGGAGGAGACAAACGATGTCAGGGAGGAGGGAGGAGGGTACCCCTCCCCGAATGGGAGAGGGTTGGACGAGGACTGGAGAATACCGTTTGACTACTTCCGCCCAAAGGGTTGGTGTGATTGCACACTATCGCTGTCCCTCGCCCCCTGGTAGGGACATGCGGAAGAGGGCACCGAGCATCTATCCTTCCCTTCCGGGCATGACGGAACGGGCCATCCATGCCCGAGCCGTCACAGAAGACGCGCCCTCCTTGGAGTGTTGACGGCCACGCGGGCCCTGCGACCGCAGCTCCGCGGACGGGTCCCAGGGACCTCCGTGCGATGGGGCTGGCACGGGTCTGGCTCGCACGGCTCTCTGGTTCCACTCGGTGGAGCAGCGGGGCAAACAGCGGACCGCCGCGACCAACTCGTGGTCGTTTTCTCAATCATTGTTTTGCCGATCGGCGCGGGCCCTCGCACCCCCTCCCCCCCGCCCCCTCCATGGAGCAGATCTTGTTTTTTTGGGGGGCACCTGTAGCAAGCAGTCGCCGCATTAAGCAGAGGTCCGGAGCCAGGCTCCCTCCCTCCCCCCCTCCGCCCAATGTCGAAGTGCCGAAGAAGAACACGTTCACCTCGTTGGAAAGGTTGTCGCGCCTCCAGGCAGTTCTGGCAGGGCACTCAACGTGGCAGCGAAAAGATGGCCCTCACTGGCGAGAGAGCGGGGTATTGTTAGGTCGGGCCTGTCCCTCTACAAGGGGAATATTCAAATACAGTCCAAAAATAGATAGGGGACTATGTTTTGAGTATGTTTGGGCATCTTTTGAGTATTTGTTGAGTATTTCTTATTTTTTCGTCCCAAATCCCCCTGTAGGGGGACAGGCCCGACCTAAGGGTATTGCTGGTGCATGTGCTCCCTGCACCAGTGTGAGCCCATCGCCAGGCCGCGCAGGGTGCCCTGTCCTCTGAACTCCCGAGCACCTCCGTCCTGGGGCACGGAGGAGAGAGAGGAGCGGAGGGAGAGGAGGGAGGGGATGACGGGGATGTTCGGATGCAACTCTTGGGAGGTCAAATTCTGTTTTCGCCCTGGTCCGAAATCTGGCTTAATCCAGCTTAATCCCGCTTGATCCGGCTTAATCCCGCTTGATCCCGCTTAATCCAGCTTAATCCTGCTTGGTCCGAGGCCCTTTCTGGCGTAACAGTTTCCACATGGGGCTTAATCCTCCCTCATCTTTCGGACGGAAACCTCCCAGTTGTTGCCTTCTAGGGGACGAGAGGAGGAGAGCGAGGCGATGCAAGGGGAGGGGAGGGGGCAGAGGAGGGGGCGTGCTGGGGGGGGGGCGAAACGGGACCCTGCAGGTTTGTGTGCGCGCTGTGCCCCCGCGTTGCGCCAGCTTGACCGTCACTCAAGGGAGGAAAAACCGCCCGGACCCGACAATGGGCGTCACCTAGACGGCCTTGGGCGTTTATTGCACAGCCCTGCCCTGGTTGATTCCCTCTTCGGGCGCGTTTACTACGCGGCCTCGCGTGTCGGGGCGGTACTATTATCGGAGTGGATTTTTCATCCTCCAGCCACGGGGCCCTGCAGGTTCTTGTGCGCGCTGAGCCCCCGCGTTGCGCCAGCTCGACCACGCAGTGCAGCCGTGGGGGCGTGGGCGGTAAACGGGGGGGCGGCACGGGGCCCTGTAGGTTTTTGTGCGCGCTGTGCCCCCGCGTTGCGCCAGCTCGATTGGCGGGGGACATGCTTCTGCAATGGTTTGTTGCTTTCTGGGACGGCCCGAACCCAATCTACTCTGTCCGCCCTCCGACCGACGTGCAACCGCCTTCCCTCCCCCCAGTGCATCATCCCTCCTGTCTTCGTCCTTGTCTGTCGGCCGTGGTCTTTTCCTGGCCCTTGCTTCGCTCGTCTCTTTAGGCCCTTGTTCGGTTCCCCTCGTCTCCCGTGCGGCTGCTTGGGGAGTTCGCGCTTGACTCTGACCCCCGTCGAGATCAAATCCGTCTCCTCTTCTGCTCCGCCCCCCGTCCGGGCGGGCGGGCAGGTGGCGAAGTTTCCATTCCGCATTGGAACGACTAGACTCCCACCGCATCCAACCGCCGAGGAGCCGCAGCGCTGGCAGCCGCAGCTGGCGCCGCCACAGCAGCCGCAGCACCACCACCCGGTGCACACGGGCGTGCTCCAGCGCGGCGAGGACGATTGCTGTCGCTCCTCTCTTTCCTCCTATCCTCGTCCTCGTCCTCATCCTCGTCCTCGTCCTCATCCTCGTCTTTGTCCTCATCCTCGTCCTCGTATTCCATCTGTGTATATATATATATATACATATAACGGCGCCCCGGGTCCCGGGGCCCGGGGCCGGGACCCCGACCACAAATGTGGGCCCCGGGGGGCCCGGAGGCTCGTCGGACCGCCGGACGCCGTCCAAGATCGTTCGTAGGCGGCTTCGGAACGCGCTCCGATGGCTCCAGATGCCTTCCAAGACGCCTGTCATGACACCAAGAAGGTCCCAGAAGCCTCCAAGACGCTCCGAGAGGCAGCCCAAGAGAGGCCCAAGAAGCAAAAATCGTGCCATTCCTATGGGAAAACGTATATTTTTCGCATGTTCGCATCTTGGGCTTTCACCGCGTCCAAGACGGCCCAAGAGGCCCCAAGACCGCCCCAAGACGGCCCAAGAAGCTTCCAAGAGGGCCCCAGGACAGCCCAAGAGGGCCCCAAGACGGCCCAAGAGGCGCCCAAGATGGCCCAAGAGGGCCCCAAGACGGGCCCAAGAGGGGGCCCAGAGGGGGACCACGAACCGCAAGCTCGAGCCTTCCGCCCCAAGAGGCCGCCAGGAGGCCCCAAGGAGGCCCCTCAAGAGGCCCCAGGAGACCCCCAAGAGGCCCAAAGGAGGCCCCGAGAAGCCCCAAATCGGCCCCCAAAATGCTTCGAACCTGCTTCCAGGAGGCCCCCGACAGGTTCAGAGGCTCCCGAGAAGCTACGTCAAACTCCCAGCGAGCGGCCGGACGAGGCCCCCCACAAAATCACAAGAGGGTTCCAGTATTTGTATCCTTCAGCGCTCTCTGGCCTTCTTCCCCCTGCCCCCTTCCCTGCGACGTTCGTTGACTCAAGCTCGCCTCCTAGCTAGAAGCTAAGCGCGCGCGAAGCGCGCGCGTGGTTCTAGTACATACATATATATATATATATATATATATATATACACACAAGTGGCACGTGTGTGCCCAGGCCCATACAACAAACTGAAAGGGCTTTTGAAGCAGGAAGACACCATGACTGCAGGATCGGATATGGAGAAGGGGAAGCCGGGGCGGCGCCGCCAGGGCGTGCCTAAAAGAAGGGGAAGAGGCAGGAGGTGAACGCAGAAGAGTCTAAGATCGAGGTCGCACTCGAGCGCAAGTAGGGTTGCCACACCTTGCGATGTGTGTACCAGGGCCCCCCCACGAAACCTCAGGAGGCCCGACTTGGATACCGGAAGAGGCTCCAGGAGGCCCCGGGATTGTGAGTGTTGTGTTGCGTGTGTGCGTGTGATGTGTGCTCTGTGTTGTGCGTGTTTTCTGTACGTTGTAGGTGTTGTGTGTGTGTTTTTGTCTAGCGTGTGATGTGTTGGGTCTGATTGTGTCTTTGTGTGTGTGCATGTAGCCAGGAGGCCCCGGGCGGCCTCAGAAGGCCCCAGAAGACCCCAGGAGGCTCCAAGAGGCCCGAAGAGGCTCCAGGAGGCCGCAGGAGGCCCCACGAGGTTCCAGGAGACCCCCAGGAGGCCCCCTCTGCGCCCCCCCCCGCCCGCCGGCCAGCGCGCCCCCCCGCTCCGGTGTTTTCATTTCGGCACGCCACTCACCATCCCTTCCTCTTGCGCGCCCCCCCCCCGCAGCCCCCCCCCCGTTTTCGGCGCCCCCCCCCCCACCCCGCCCCCGCGCGCTCTTGCATCGCCCCCCCCCCGCCCCCAGCCATCGCGGACTCCCCCGGGCCGACCCCTTAATTTCGGCGCGGCACCCCCGCCCACCGCCCAGAGCACCACCACCCCAACCGCGAGCCAGCGCGCCCCCTCCGCCCCGGCCTTGTTATTTCGGCAAGGCACCCACCCCTCCCCACACCGCGCGCCCCTCCTCCGCATCTCCCCCGCCCGCCAGCTGGCGCGCCCCGTCCGCCCCGACCCTTGTATTTCGGCACGCCCCCCGCCTCCCCCATGCGCGCCCCCGCGCTGCGCCCTCCCGCCCGCCAGCCAGCGCGCCCCCTCCGCCCCAGCCCTTTCGGCGCGGCGCCCGCTCCCGCCAGCCTGTGCGCCCCCTCCGCCCTGACCCGTTCACATCGGCGCGGCGCTTCCCCCCCGCCCCGCGCGCCCCCTCTGCGTCGCCCACCGCCCGCCAGTCAGCGCGCCCCCCCTACCCCGACCTTCTAAATATGGCACGGCCCCGCCCCCCGCGCCCGCGCCACCGCCCGCCCGCCCGCGAGCCTGCGCGCCCCCCTCTGTCCCGACCCTTGCTATTCCGGCACGGCGAGGCCCCCCCCCCTTTATCCCGAGCACCCCCTTCTGCGTCGCCCCGCGCGCCTGCCTGCGCGCCCCCTCCGCCCCGGCCGCCTCTTCATTTCGGCGCGGCACCGCACCCCCCCCGTGCCGCGCGCCCCTTCCTCGCCCCCCCGCCCGCCAACCAGCGCGCCCCCTCCATCCCGGCCCCTTCAGTTCGGCGCGGCGCCGCCCCCCCCTCCCCCCCGTATCCCGCGCGCCATGCATCGCCCCGCCCCCCAGCCGACGCGCCCCCTCCACCCCGGCCCCTCCGTTTCGGCGCCGCGGCCGCCCCCGCCCCCGCCCCGCGCGCCACTTCCGCATCACCTTGCTCGCCAGCCAGAGCGCCCCCTCCGCCCCGACCTTTCCGCGCGGCACCGCCCCCCTCCAATCTGGAGCGCCCCGTCTGCGCCGCCCCCGCCCGCCAGCTAGCGCACCCCCTCGCCCCGCCCCGCCCATCCCGAGCGCCGCCTCCGTCGCCCCATCCGCCAGCCAGCGCGCCCGTTCCGCCCCGGCCCCTTTATTTCGGCATGGCGCCGCCCCCCTCCCATGCCGCGCGCCCCCTCCGCATCCCCCACCCCCCCGCCCGCCGGCCAGCGCGCCCCCCCGCCCCGACTTTAATATTTCGGCACGGGCGCCGCCCCCTCCGCCCCGACCCCCTCATTTCGGCGCGGCACCGCCCCCCCCCCCTCCCGCGCGCCTCCTTCTGCGCCCCCCCATTCGCCAGCCGGTGCGCTCCCCCGCACCGACCTTTTTATTTCGGCGCTGAACTGCCCCCCCCGCCCCGAGCGCCCCCTCTGCGCCACCCTTCGCGCCAGCCAGCGCGCCCCCTCACCCCGCGCCCCCTTGCCCGCCAGCCAGCGCGCCCCCCCCCGCCCCGGCCCGTTTATTCTTTTGCACTTGGAGCTCCGACCATGTAATTTCGGCACGGCGCCCCTTCCATCGCCCGCGCATTCCACCTGCCAGCGCGCCCCTCCGCCCCGAGCCGTTTCATTTCGGCATGGCGCGCCCCTTCGTTCCGACTTTTTTATTTCGGCGCGGCGCGCCCCCTCCGCGCCCCCCCCCCGCCCCCCCCGCCCGCCAGTTTGCGCGCCCCTCGGCCCCGATTCCTTCATTTGGGCGCGGCGCACCCCTCGGCCACGACCCTTGCATTGCGGCACGGCGCGCTTCCTCCGCATCCCTCCACCCGCCGACCCGACTTTTTTTTTCGGCGCGGCGCACCTCTTCCGCCCCGACCTTCGGCGGCACGGCGCGCCCCCTTCGACCCCCCCCCAACCTGCCGGCCAGCGCGCCCCTTCGCCCCGGCCCTATTCATTTCGGCGTGGCGCGCCCCTCCGCCCCGGCCGCCGCGTCTCTGCGCGGCGCGCCCCCTCCGCACCCCCCCCCGCCCACCAGCCAGAGCGCCCCCTCGGCCCCGACCCTTTCATTTCGGCGCGGCGCACCCCTCCGCCCCGACCCTTTTGATTTCGGCACGGCGCGTCGCTCCTGCATCCCCCCGTCCAGCCAGCGCCCCTCCGCCCCGTTGTTTTTCATTTCGACAGGACACGCCCCTCCGCCCCGACACCAGAATTTCGGCGCGGCACGCCCACGCCCGCCCCCCCCCCCGCCCACCAGTCAGCGCGCCCCTCCGCCCCCGACCCTTATTTTCGGCGCGGCGCACCCTTCCGCCCCGACCTTTTACTTCGACACGGCACGCCCTCTCCGCACCGCCCCCGCCCACCAGCCCGCGCCCCTCCGCCGCGACCCCGCCATTTCGGCGCGGCGCCCCCCCCTGCCCCCCCCCGCCCACCAGCCAGCGCGCCCCCCGACTCCTTTATTTCGGCACGCATCCCCCCGCCCCCTCCGCGCGCCCCCCCCGCGCCGCGCTTTTTCATGTCGGCGCGGCGCGCCCCTTCGCCCCGACCCCATTCATTTCGGCGCGGCGCGCCCCATCCGCATCCCTCCCACCCGCCAACCAGCGCGCCCCTTCCGCCCCGACTTCTTCTATTTCGGCACGGCGCGCCCATCCGCCCCGACCCCATTGCTATGGCACGGCGCACCTCCTCCGCACCCCCCCGCCCGCCAGCCAGCGCGCCCCTCCGCCTTGGCCATTTTTTTTAATTTCGGCAAGGCACGCCCCTCCGCCCCGACCATTTTCTCGCGGCGCGGCAAACCCCCTTCCGCATCCCCCACCCACCAGCCAGCGCCCCCAGCCCCTTTTTCGGGCGCGCCCCTCCCCCTGCATCCCCCCCCCCACCAGCCGGCGCAACCCCGTCCGCCCCGACCCTTTATCCCCCCCCCGCGCCCCTCCGCCCCGGCCCTTTTCGTTTTGCACGGCGCGCCCTTCCGCCCCGACCCTTGTACTTCGGCACGGCGCGCCCCCCCCGCACCCCCCCCGCCCGCCAGTCAGCGCGCCCTCCGCCTCGACCCCGACACGGCGCGCCCCTTCCGCCCCGGCTCATTTACATTTCGGCGCGACACACCCCCTCTATATCCATATCCCCCCACCCGCCAGCCAGCGAGCCCCTCCGCCCCGGCCTTTTTTATTTCGGCGCGGCGCGCCCCTCCGCCCCGACCCTTTTTATTTCGGCGCGGCACACCGCCTCGACAACCCCCCCCACCCACCAGCCAGCGCGCCCTTCCGCCCCGATCTGTTTTTATTTCGGCACGCACACCCCTCCGCCCCGACCCCATTATTCTGGCGCGCCCCCCCCCTCCGCATCCCCCCGCCCTCCAGCCGACGCGCCCCTCCGCCTCGATTATTTTATTTCGGCGCGGCGCACGCACGCACACACACGCACACACACACACACATACACACATACACACACACACACACACACGCACGCACGCACGCACGCACGCACGCACACGCACCCGCACGTGCGCGCGCGCGCACGCGCACGCGCACGCGCACGCGCACGCGCACGCGCGCACGCGCAACACGCACACGCACGCACCACGCACACGCACACGCACACGCACACGCACACGCACACGCACACGCACACGCACGACGCACACGCACACGCACACGCACACGCACACACCAACACACCACACACACGCGCACACACACACACACACACACGCACGCACGCACGCACGCACGCACGCACGCACGCACGCACGCACGCACGCACGCACGCACGCACGCACCCACACACACACGCACGCACGCACACACACATACATACACACACCGCATCCCCCACTTACCAGCCAGCGCGCCTCCTCCGCCCCGCGACTCCTTTGTTTCGGCACGACCCCCACTCCCTCCCCGCGCGCCCCGCGCGCCCCCTCCGCATCCCCCCCACCCACCAGCCAGCGCGCCTTCTGCCCCGACCCCTTAATTTGGGCACGGCGCACCCCTCCGATCCTCCCCCTTTTTTTTAGTGCAAGAGCCATGGCACACGTGCCACTTGTTTCGGCACGGCACCGCCCCCCCATCCCGCGCGCTTCTTCCGCATCCCCCATCCACTAGCCAGCGCGCCCGTCTGCCCCGACCCACTGCCCATTGCTATAGGCCTTCCGCATCCTCCCACCCACCAGCCAGCGCGCTCCCTCCAGCCCGCGCCCCTTTCCGCATCAGCCAGCGCGGCCCTTCCGCCCCGACCATTCATTTTGGCGCGGCGCCGCCCCCTTCGCCCCGGCCATTTTGTTTCGGCACGCCGCTTCCCCCACCCACATCCAGCACGGCCCTTAGGCATCACCCCACCCACCAGCCAGCGCGCCCCCCCCTCGCCCCGACCCTTTTCATTTCGGCACGGCACCGCCCCCCATCCCGAGCGCCCCCCCTGCGCCACCCCACCAGCCAGCCAACGCGCCACCTCCGCCCCGACTCTTGTTTGTCGGCGCGGCACCGCCACTCCATCCCGAGCGCCCCCTCCGCCAGTCCGTCCACCAGCCAGCGCGCCCCCTTCGCTTACTCCCTCTTCCTTTCTGTGCAAGAACCATGGCGCGCGTGCCGCTTGTCTCGTTGAGTGTCCCAGTGCGCCGTAGATTGCGCCTTAGGTTTCGCCTGGCACCCACTGGACCAGCAACTGCCTCTTTCTCCAGCCTGTCTTCCTTCTATAGATTGCGCCGTACGCTGCCCCAGACACCCCGCGGGCCACCAAATCGCGATTCCCCCAGTCTGTCTACAATCATTGTAGGTTGCGCCATCGATTGCGCCAAACACCGCGCGGGCTACAAGATCGTCTGATGTCTCACTGTGTGTGCGTGTGTCTTCTGAGCATTACGCAGATACTTGCAGCATTCGCTTTTTAGGGACATTATGCTCACAGCTGTGCTGATGGCCTACAGGCGCCAGAAGCAGAACCCCCCTGCCTTGCCCTGCAGGTTTTCTCCTCCTCCTCCTCCTCCTCCTCCTCCTCCTCCTGCTCCCTCTCCTCCTCCTCCTCCTCCTGCTCCCTCTCCTCCTCCTCATCCTCCTCCTCCTCCTCCTCCTCTTCCTCCTCCTCCTCCTCCTCTTCCTCCTCCTCCTCCTCCTCCTCCTCCTCCTCCTCCTCCTCCTCCTCCTCCTCCTGCGCTCTCAATGGGCCTCGGGGCGCGCCCTCGTGGGCGCCCGTGTTTTCCTTGGCCTCTCCTCCACCTCGAGGGGCCTCCTCTCCTCCCTCCTCTCCGTGCCTCTCCGTCCTCCCCTCCCCCCCTCGCCCTGCCCCCCTCCATTGCCCCCCCTGGCACCAGGACTCTTACGAGCGCCAGCAGCCGGACGAGCCGCGCGCGCCCCTGCGTGGGCTGCCGCCCCCGCGCGAGAGCCCCGCCCAGCGGGAGCAGCCGGAGGAGCCTACGCGTGGCGGCTTCCACTCCGAGGCCCCCGCGCCTCGCGCTCGTCCTCCTCCCTGGCCTGATCCCGGCTACCTCCTGGCCTGGGGTGGGATAGGGCAAGGTGGGAGGGGGTGGGCGAGGGAAGTTTCAGTCAGCGTCACTCCCGCCCGCTACCCTCGGACGGCAGCATACAGGAGAGGAGGATGAACAGAACGATGAGCTGGGGGAGAACGATGCTCGAGTGTGCCAGGCGCGCCTGGTGCGCCAGATACGCCACGTGCTCCACGTGCGCCGGGTGTGCTGCATAATCCAGCCGCGCCAGGTGCGCCACGTTCGGGGTGCGTGCAAAGTGTGTCAGGTGCGCCTGCGCACGTGACAGCACACATCGGGAAACATGTCGGCCCCCACCATCCATGTCTAAAACCAATGCCCATCATTGTGTCTGGTGGGCCTGCGCGCAGCGGGCCATACGCCACCACCCCCGCAGTCCCTGTCAAAAACCAGTTGAGTGATCGCGGGGTGGCCGCGTAGGATCCATGTGTAGCCGCGATGTGTATCTTGTATGGTTTTTTGGCAGGGATGGTGGCCCTGCGGCACTTGTTTTTTGACAGGAAGGGTGATCCCGCGCGTAGCAGGCAATATGCTGACACCCCCGCCGTCCCTATACAAAACAGTACACGCGCTCGCGGACCTCACGAATCTGATTCAAGACTTTGACCCAACGTGTACTTTGTATTGTCTTTCGGCAGGAATTGTGCGCGGGGGCGCATCGGGTTGGCCGCGCATGCTCCGAATTTGGAGACAGACTGTTTTTCCCAACCATCCTGTGGTGTTGGGTCCTCGTTTTGAAGAGACGTCGCCCCGCGTTCCTCCTTCCTCCTCCTTCCTCCTCCTCCCCTTCCTCCCCCCTCCTCCCCCTCCCACACCCATTCTGGCACACCCCTCACACGTTTCGTGGCCCCATAGGGAGCTCCACCGAAGGCCCCAGTGGCTGCGCCCGCATGCGGTTCCACCCCCCATTCTGGCACACCCCTCACACGTTTCGTGGCCCCATAGGGAGCTCCACCGAAGGCCCCAGTGGCTGCGCCCGCATGCGGTTCCACCCCCCATTCTGGCACACCCCTCACACGTTTCGTGGCCCCATAGGGAGCTCCACCGAAGGCCCCAGTGGCTGCGCCCGCATGCGGTTCCACCCCCCATTCTGGCACACCCCTCACACGTTTCGTGGCCCCATAGGGAGCTCCACCGAAGGCCCCAGTGGCTGCGCCCGCATGCGGTTCCACCCCCCATTCTGGCACACCCCTCACACGTTTCGTGGCCCCATAGGGAGCTCCACCGAAGGCCCCAGTGGCTGCGCCCGCATGCGGTTCCACCCCCCATTCTGGCACACCCCTCACACGTTTCGTGGCCCCATAGGGAGCTCCACCGAAGGCCCCAGTGGCTGCGCCCGCATGCGGTTCCACCCCCCATTCTGGCACACCCCTCACACGTTTCGTGGCCCCATAGGGAGCTCCACCGAAGGCCCCAGTGGCTGCGCCCGCATGCGGTTCCACCCCCCATTCTGGCACACCCCTCACACGTTTCGTGGCCCCATAGGGAGCTCCACCGAAGGCCCCAGTGGCTGCGCCCGCATGCGGTTCCACCCCCCATTCTGGCACACCCCTCACACGCTTCGTGGCCCCCCCCCCATTTTCGGCACACCCCGCACACGGTTCGTGGCCCCATAGAGAGCTCCACCGAAGGCCCCAGTGGTTGCGCTCGCATGCGGTTCCACCATCTTTTTCGGCACGCCCTTCACACGTCTCGTGGCCCCATAGGGAGCTCCACCGAACGCCGCAGTGGCTGCGCTCGCATGCGGTTTCACCCCCCATTTCGGCACACCCCTCACACGTTTCGTGGCTCCATAGGGAGCTCCACCGAAGGCCCCAGTGGCGGCGCTGGCATGCGGTTCCACACTCCATTCTGGCACACCCCTCGCGCGTTTCGTGGCCTCATAGGGGGCTCCACCAAAGGTCCCAGTGGCACTGCCCGCTTGCGTCCGCCACCACCCAGCACAGCCCTTGTTCCCTGCGCTTCACCCACCCAGCGGCACCGCCCGCATGCGTCCGCCACCACCCTGCACAGCCCTTGCTCCCTGCCTGCGTTTCACCCACCCAGTACAGCGCTTCCTGGCCCCATAGGGAGCTCCACCGAAGGTCCCAGTGGCACCGCTCGCATGCGTCCGCCACCACGCAGCACAGCCCTTGCTGACCGCGTCCCACCCACCCAGTACAGCGTTTCGTGGCCCCATAGGGAGCTCCACCGAAGGTCCCAGTGGCACCGCCCGCATGCGTCCACCACCACCCAGCACAATTGCGGCACTCACAACTGCATATGGTTGGGTCCTTCGCCAGGCTAATTTATTTCTGGTCTCTTGACAGGGATGGTGGGGGGTGTGCTCATGGTGGTTGGCATTGTTACTGGTTGGCTGCCGGCCGCGTGTGGGAGGGGGTGTTTAAATCCTCCCCCGAGCAGGGGAAGGAAGGACATTGGCAGAGAGAAGGCAAAACTCGTTAGACCGCCTACGCCCGCAGGGCCGGTGGGAAATCAGAAGAAGTCGCAGGAGAAACGTCCAGAGCCTCCGACCACCAGAGCGCGACGAGTAGCCGTTGTCTGGAAGGGAGAGTGCTTGAGGATGAGGAGGGTGTGCACAATGAGGATTCGGAGAGGGGGTGACGGTTGCGGAGGGGGGAGGGGGGCGGGAGGGGGAGAGGGGTTGAGGAGCAGGGGGAGAGGGGTTGAGGGGTTGAGGAGGGTGTGTGCAATGAGGACGAGTTGATTATCGATCATAGAAGACGCCTCCCGCGACCCACTGTTGCCCTTGCCTTTTGGAAGCGCCTGTGTGGCCAAACGCTGGGCCGTCGTCTTGCCAGGCTAGTGGGCTAGGCTATATGCTCCCCAAGCCGTTCTGGAAACCCTCAGGGGAACACTTGGGAGGACGAGAGAGAAGGAGGAGAGGAAGGAGACGGACGGAGATGAGGAAGAGGAGGCCTCGTGGGTTTGCTGGGGGTCCTCCTGTGGCCCTCTTGGCTTGGGCCGCCTGGTGGGCCTCTTGGGTCGTCTTCTGGCATCTTGGGCCGTCTTGGGCCATCTTGGCAGCCTTCGTTGTCTGCCTCTATCGCCTGAGAAGCTCGGGAGCGCAGATCCATACTCCTCGACGGGAGATCGAGGCCTCGGGAGCGCGGACCCATGTGTTTCACGAGGGATCGTGTCCTCGGGAGTGCGGGCCCACGGTTTGATGCGAGGGACCGTGGCTTCTAGAGCGCAGGTCGGCTGGTTTTCACAAGGGAACATGGCCTCGGGAGCACGGACCCATATAGCTTTGCATTCGAAAAGGAGGGGGAGGAGGAGGAGGAGGAGGAGGAGGAGGAGGAGGAGGAGGAGGAGGAGGGGCGGAGCACGGGGCTGGACGTGGCAAGAGGAGTGTGGGGGGGGTAACCTCCGACGATCGCAGCAGCCCCGCCGGACGGTCCCTCGGCAGCTCTGCCCCGGCCCCACCGCGCCCGCGGGGGCACGGCGGCGCACCCGCCCGGCTGCCGCAGCGGAGGCGGCGGGAGGGCAGCGGAGCGCCGCCGGCAGGCCCCGCGGCCCAACGCGCGCGGCGGCGACGAGCTCCGGCAGGCCCTGCACGTGGACGCGCCGCGGCCCAACACGCGCGGCGGCGAGGAGCCGCGGCAGGGCCTCCACGCGGAGCCGCTGCGGCCGGGCACGCGCGGGGGCGAGGAGCGGCGCCCCCCCACCCCGTCGCTGGCTCGCTCCCCCTCCTCCCCGCGCCCCCCCTGTCCCACCGCCCCTTTCCCCGGCACGATCGAGATGGCTACGGAAGGGCTGTCGGTCTCTGCAGCAGGGACCGACATCAGCGCTTGCCCGTGTTGGGCAGGACTCGCTCTCGGTGTCTCCGCGGGCGTGGTCGAATTGAGGTAAAGGTTACCCGCCGAGCAGCGGCCGCTGTCGGTTTTGAATAACATTTGCGCTGAGCATGGTACGCACTTTTCCGTGTCCATGTTCTTCGTGCCAGTTTTCTTTTTTCTCTGGAGAACTGTGTCGGCCGCCGTAATGGCATTTGGGGACCGTTCCCAGGGCGTTTTTTTCTTTTCTCTTCGGTAGTCGTATTTTTAGTGCATTCAGTTATCATCAGCTCGTTATTATTGCATACAGGCACGGACAGGTGAAGGAGCATGAGCAGCGTATACGTTTGGACCAGTTATCCTGCGGCATGGTGGTGTGGTTGTTCACGTGCTCAGTGGTGGCGCAGCGTGTGCGGTAGTTTACCGGTGCGCGCTTTGACATCGTCTAGAGACGGCGCCATGTTCTTGAGCGACCACCATGTTCATTGCGTGTTGTGCAGTTGTGCAGCTCAATTCCGTGTTGGTAACATCTCTCATAGCACGTGAGACATCAGCAGTGTCAAGCTGAGTTTTGACGCTCTCTTCATCCAGTGGCGGAGCAACTCACATTCATATTGAGCGTTAGCGTATCAGAGGCGGCAATTCGATAATTCAAAGTCATTAAAACCACTTCCGTGGCCATTTTGGCTCGTGGCGATCTTGGCCCAAATCTTGTTTGCGCAAACCAGCTTCGGCCGACTTGATGGATACATTTCCAGGTTACAGTGCATGCTACACCTGACCACACGCCACATTTGATTTTTCCATGCGGTTCAGCATGCGTAGTCGTGAACCTGAGCTTGTGTGTTGACATGGCAACGGTCGGATACGGTTCCAGAGCTGCCCGGGAGCGCAGTTGCAGTACTCGCTTGACGGCGCCATGCGGCCGCCATGCAGGCACATAGTCTTGCATGAGATTGCTTTGCTCGAGTTCCATGACATTGGAAGCACGGTTCGATGTCCCAAAGAGTCTCTTCGGTTTGGGACCGTTTATATTCAGGATTTCGCCCACCTTGCTGGCATCAGTATGCGTTTCAATGAAATTCGAGGTAGTGGTTCCCTTCGTACCACAGTCGCAGGTCACCAGCGTTTACAATACCATTGACGGCACATTGCCGCCACCTTTTCCACACATGTCGTTCCAGAACGATGACATGGTACAGTTTCACGATATCGGTAGGATGGCGAAGCTTCCCCAGACAGTGCGCAGGAGCAGGAGATAACACGCCAATTTCAGAGTGTGATGCATCTTGTCGTCCTCGATAGTCAATTCGAAGAAAGGCGCTGACAGGGCTTCCTTCGTTTCATGGTCGCAGGCCACCAGCGTTTACAACACACCGTTGATGTTGCATTGTGGCCACCTTTTCAGCACATGGCTTTTCAGGAGGATGACGTGGTTCAGGTTCAGGGGATCTTCCCCCGGGCGGCGCGCAGGTGGTAAGACTCTAACTTCCTAACTTGGAACATCTCGTCGGCCTCGGCAGTCGTTCCGAGGAAGGGCGTGGGCAGGGCTTCCTTCGTTTCATGGTCGCAGGCCGCCAGCGCTTACAGAACACCGTTTGCGGCCACCCTTTTCGCACATGTCTTTCCAGGAGGATGACACGCTTCAGTTGTTGGAGCCGTTGGCGGCGCATTGCGGCCACCTTTTCAGCACATGACTTTTCAGGAGGATGACATGGTACAGTTTCAGGAGATCGGCATGAGGGTGAAGCTTCCGCCAGGCAGTGCGCAGGAGGTAAGAATCCAACTTTAGAATGTGACGCTCACCCCCAGGCAGTGCGCAGAAGGTAAGAATTCAGCTTCAGAATTTGATGCATCCTGCGGGCCTAGGCAGTCAACTCGAAGAAGGTTCCGGCCTTCGTTTCATGGTCACAGGCCATCAGCGTTTACAATATACCGTTGATGGAGCATCGCGGCTACCCTTACAGCATTTTGACCTTCCAGACGGGTGGCACGGTTGGTTTTGAGGACATTGGTAAACGTGCGAAGCTCCCCCCTAGGCAGTGCACAGGAAGTAGCTTTCCAATGTTTGAACCTGGCAAGCCTTGCCGACAACGGTGTCCAATTCACTGGGGGTCGAGGTAATGGTTGCCTTCGTTTCGTGGTCATCGGCGATCAGTGTTTACAGTACACCGTAGGCGGCGCATTGCGGCCACTCTTTCAACACACAGCTTTCCTGGATGATGCTAAGACTGCGAGGCTTCTCCCAAGCAGCTCACAATAGACAAGAGGCACGTTTCAGAATTTTGCACATTTGGCGGGGAATGGTGTGCAGATTGAAGATTGTAGCGTGAACGGGCAATTACGATTTCAAATACCCAGTAATGCCTGCATGTTGGTACACATGTAACGGGTCGTGCGGGAGGCCTTCTACAGTGATGAGGTTAGCCGACAGCGGCATTGATGACTTTGCAGAGTCGGATCTGACAGCAAGATTTCCTCCAGCCGAAACAGCAGCCCTCGGACGGGTCAGGGCAGAATGAATGTTTGGTGGCCTGGCCTCGCCACCCCACCTCATTCGCCAGGCTTCAGAGCGACAGCATTTTCTGTCATGCTTACAGTCAGCCCGCATAGTAAGGAGGAGTACCCACCGGTCGTGGAAAGTAGGTAATTCTGGATTCCCATATTCCAATCTGCTTTAAGCGCCTTCCTACTTCAAGTATCGATTGTCTTCATCTTTTCCGTCCTCTTCAGTGGGTGGCGGACACCCAATCTACGTTCAACGCCTTCCAACTTCATGTTTCTACCTGCTTCTTCCGACCGATGGATGCAGTCAGCTCGCACAAGAAGGATGAGTAACAGTTGTAAGGTTGCCCTTGCATCCTTCCCCTTCGGCCTGCGCATCCTCGGCCGCTTTCGCTGGCCGCGCCCCGCTCGCAACGTGTCGACATGGTTTTCCAAGACCCTTGCATCCTCATCGTGCGTCCTTGTTCTACGGGTTGATCGTACTCTGTCGAAGAGGGGGATGCCACCTGCAGAACGGACACGATCGACCTGGACTGTCCCTTCGGAGGAGGGCGATTGGAGCCAACGGCCCCCGAGCAGATCACACTCAAAGCATTGGACCCACTGTGGCGTCTGTGCCTCGGGGCCGATGCGCCCTGGAGGCAGCCTCCTGCGGCTCGTCTGGGCTCTAGGGGTCCCTTGAGGCCCTCCCCCTGTCTTGGGACGGCCCCTTTGGGCTCGGGCCTCTCAGTGGGGCCTGGGCCCTATGTGGGCTCCCTTTTAGCCTTTATAGGCCCCGCGTTGCACGTTACACTGTGGCGTCTGTGAGCTCTTCTGCCCCCCGTGGGGCTTCGTGGCTCCGTGGGGCCGCCCCGGAGGAGGCATGCCGTGGCCACGCGTGTTGGGCGCCAATGTTGGTCCGACTTGCCTCGCCCTTCGGAGGAGGAGCGGGGACCACCGCCGTCGAGAGCCCATCGCAGGGCTCGTTTCGATTCCTCCGATTCGATTCGATTCGACTTCGATGGATTCCGATTCCGATTCGATTCGACCTGGGCTTCCGGTTTGGGTTCCGCTTTCTTGTTGGAGGCATTGCTGGCCTGCCGATTTCTACCGATCCGATTTTTCCCGACTCAGCTGCCGATTTCCGACGATCCGATTCATGTCGATCGCCGATCCGACTCGTCGATCCGATCCTGGGCTCTCCTGGAGGGCGTGCCGCCCGGGCGGCGGCACGCCGGAGCGCAAGGGGATCCTGCGCCACCGTGGAGGCCATCTTGGGGTACGCACTCCTCCTCCTCCTCCTCCTCCTCCTCCTCCTCCTCCTCCTCCTCCTCCTCCTCCTCCTCCTGGCGGCATCGGTAGCCTTCGATTTCCCGAGCCGCTGCCATCTGACCCTCCAGGCAGGCTCCGCCACACCACGGCAGGCATGGCAGCACCGTGCTGTTTGATGGGTGTGGGGCCCTCGCTTTTTCTGCCTGCCTCGCCAGTGCTTCGGCTGACCCTTCAGGGCGGCTCCGCCAGACCGCGGCAGGCATCGGAGCGCCGCGGGACAGTCGGACCGAGGTAAAAGATCGAGGCCGGTTCGGGGAGGGTACCCAGGTTTTCTGCGTGCTCGTTGGATGTTCTGGACGATTCTGGGGAGGGAAGTCGGGGGACCCGAAGGCTCGGAGCGTGGTCTGGTCGGACTCCCCCGACCTCAACATGGCCTCTCGTGCGCAGCCCTGGGTGCGCACCTTGCAGCTCCTTGGCGGGGCGCAGCTGCTGGCAAGGCAGCCCGGGCGCCGCCCGTGTCCCGCGCGGAGCCCTTGGATTCCAGTGCTGGTGGTAACATTTCGGTCGCCCTGGAAGCCAGGATCTTGCCACCCTCCCCGAGATCGGGATCTTCCTCCCTCAGTGGAGGAGCACCGCCGATGCTGGTGTTGGTGTCAACCTCTGGGCCTGCCATCGGTGCCTCTGCAGATCTGCCGCAGGAGCCGCCCGTGCGCGTGCGGGGCGACCCGCGGGCGGCCGACCTCCACGGCGCCGACCCGGCGCGCCCAAACACCCGCGGGGCGGAGGAGCTCCCGCGGGGCCGCGGGGGGGCGCACGTGGGCTCGAGGTGTGCGCGGGAGGGCAGAGAGGGGAGGGGACAAAAGCACGCAGGCACAATGCATCGTCGATTCCCTGAAAAATGTTAGAAACTATGGGAAGTGGGGGGAAGACAAAAACCCAGAAAAGATGGATAAAGACATGGGGCATCCGGTTATCTGTGTCTATTTATGACTGTGTCCCGGCGCCGTCTCAGTCGGAGAGGGGGCAGGTGCCGATGCCGCCGCTCGCCCTGGAGAGCCCTCGTCGCCACGGCTGGATTCTCCTCGAAGTTCTGGCCCGAGCGCACCCGGGGAGAGGGCCGGGGAGGAGGAAGGTCGGTCCCTCTCCGTGCCCCCCACCCGTGCGGGCTCCGCGAGGTCTCCAGCGGACTCTTGGACTGTTCTCTCGTCTCGCTGCTTGGCTGTCCTGGCGCGCAGCGCTTGCGTCATCCGCACCCGAAGCCTCGTGGTTGATTGGTCTCCGTCTTTCGCATGCACTCCAGCAAAGCTATGGCAACCTGCTCGCCCATGCGTGCCCACTGTGACTCACGATTCACACTGCCAGGTTAGGCGGAGGAGTGATCGTGAGCTGTTTCACGCGTCTTGCCCTGGTGGCATCCCCCCCTGCATTCGTTCCAGAATCCTGCAGAGCAAGCTGGTTGGACGAGGAGCCAGCAAATTGATTCAGCTTGATTTTGTGGACTTCTGTCGACCCCCTTAGACCAGGGCCCAGGGGCGACCGAGATTAGTCTGAGCTGGATTCGCAGTTGGGGGAATTTCTGCAGAGACGACGGAGGCGCAGAGACAACGGAGACGCAGGCGAAGGAGGAGTATGATGCGTCCCTTCCCTGGCCGCCTTTCCCCCTGCTGAATGTCGGGGTGGGCGCTGGGTATGCGGAGGGTCACGGAGCTCAGGCTGGGCTCCCCCTGCCCACTTCCTGCCGCCTGGCTCCCTCTGCTCGTCCTCCCTCCGCTCTCCCCAATCCGCACTGCAGCGCCCTTATCCAATTCGCTTCGTTCTCTCCACACCGCACTCCGCTCGGCTCCCGTCCGCCCTTCTCCGCTCCGTTCCCCTCCACTCCACCCTCTCCATGCTGTCTCTTGCCTTCTCCCTCGTGGCAGGGATTGGGGGGGGGGAAGACCGTCGACGGACGGCATGGCAAGGGTGGGACGTGGGCGGGTGCGTGCGGCAGGGGGGGTGAGCAGAGACGAGGAGGGGAGTCTGCCTGGTGGAGGGGGGAGGCGGTCGGGCGTCGCGCCGCGGGGCGTCAGGACATGCGGGTGTACGCGGCTCCGCGCCCGCGCAGAGGTTTTGGGAGAAGGTGCAGTTTGGGGGGAGAGGCGAGGGGGTCTCCTATGCGCAAGGGAATTTTCTGTAGCCCTTCTGGCATCTCGACAGGTTGACCGCGAATGCAATAAGCGTGAGCGTGCAGGCGCCAGGCGTGCGCGCCGAGAAGGGGTGGAGGCGGCGTTGGCAATGGAGTTGGAGCTGGAACTGGAGCACTTAGGCTTGGAGATTGAGTCGGCGGAGGCGGGGGAGGGGGAGCAGCCTCAGCATCCCCAGCAGTGTCGGGAGGAGCGGCGGCCTGCAGCTCGAGGAGCAGCAGCAGCGGCAGCACCAGGGCGAGGGGCAGGAAGGCAAGGCAGGATGCCGTGTCGTTTGCTTTGGAGGAGATGCGTTCGGGGACGCAGGGAGAAGGTAAGGCTCTCAGTCGGCGTCACCGCAACATACTTATACTGTATGTGCGCCGCTCCCTCAGGGGCGATGCGCGCACAGAAAAATCTTGTAGTATATGCGTGGTGGCGGGCGCTTTCTGGCCACACCGCTCGGGAAACGATATACTACAAGATGGGTATACTATATGTTTGGGTCGGACGCGCGTCTCCAAGGAGAACATGTAGTACTAGTACGTCTTTGCGCGTCCTACTCAGGCGCAGGACCGCTTTGGTTTGCGGGACTGGACCCGCGCCGCGCCAGGACCACCGCACCCGCGGCGACGAGCTGCGCGGCACGGACAGCACCGCACGCTGGGGGGGGCAGGAGGAGGAATGACGAGGGGGCGGCAGCAGGAGGAGCATTCAAACACAGGGGGAGGCGGGGAAGACAAAAGGGGGAGGAGGAGGCGGAGGGGTAGCTCCGGAAGCCTCCTGGGGGCCTCCTGGGGCGCAACGCTCGGATTTTCGGTGGGTATTCACTCTATTGGGCCCCCTTGGGGGCCGTTTTGGGGCTCTCTTGGGCCGTTTTGGGCACCTCGTGGGCCGTCTTATGGCCCTCTTGTGCAGTTTTTGGCCACCCTTGGGGTCTCTTGGGCCGTCTCGGTGCGATCTTGGGGGCATCTGGGGCCGCTGTGGAGCGTCGGGAAGCCGAAAAGGCGAGAAAGCCAACAACCTGCAGAAGCCGACTTACAATCAATGATTTGTGCCTCCCAGGGCCTCTGTCTGGGACCTCTTGCAGGCCTCTTGGGGCGTCTTGGAGGCCTCTAGGGCCGTCTGGGGGGCACCTTGAGCGTCTTGGATCGATCGTTCGGCAACTCGTGGCCCCCTTGGGCTGTCTTCGGTGCCTCTTGGGGCCCTCTTTGCCCGTCTTGGGGCCCTCCTGGGCCCGAAGACTTCATGCGGGAAGCTGCGGACGAGCCTAGAGGGCACTCGACAAGCCCCGGTAGATTTTGGAATTTGGGGTCCAGGCCCCTTAAGAGACTCGTCAGGGCTGAGGACTGAGGCTCCAGGGATTAGGCAAAGGACC